TCAAAGCATCCCCAACAGATGGCCATCCAGCCTCTGCTTAAAGGTTTAGTATGATTTAAGTATGATTTAAGGTTATCAATAGCATGATTTAAGGTTGTCAATAGTATTGCTCTTTCCTGCAGCACTGAATTTATGTATATGAAAATATTTTTTAATTATATATATATATATATATATATATATATATGAAATGCTCCAATAAAGCTGTTTTTACAATAATAATAATAATAAACACTGGAGGGTTTCTGCAGGGTGTTTTGGGAGCTCTCCCTAGATGCCAAGAAGAGCATCTATCTGCCAAGGGGCAGACCCTCCTTGCCTTGGCATTTGGGAGGGCAGTGGCCTTACCTCCACTTTCTCCTCCCGCAAGTGGACCCTCCTGGCCAGCTGCTCTCGGGTGCCCACATCGGGGTACTTGGTCTCCTGGAAGAGGTTCTCCAGAGCCTCCAGCTGCTCATCGGTGAAGATGGTCCGGTGCCTCCTTTTCCTCCGGCAATGGAGCTGGTTCAGCAACTGCAGCTCAGTCCGGGACAAAGTGCCCACGTTCATGTAGGGCAGCATCTGGGGGGGCACCGGGGACATCAGGACAGAGCCAGTCCCTTCGTAGCCTGCAGAGAAGAAGAGGAGGAGGACATCGAGATGACAAGGAGAAGAATTTAGCAACCAAGAGGTGTGACCACGCTTATATTTGATTCACTGCAGGGTGCCTTGACTGGGAGTTCCTGCATGTCAGAGTGGGGCGGTTGGATTGGATGGCCCTTGGGATCTCTTCCTGCTCTAGGATTTTGAGGATTTATTTCCCGCCTTTCTCCCACAAGGGGATTGATTCAAAGAGAGCTGCAATCGTTGAAAAAGAAACAAATAAAAGCATTAATTACTTGGGCTAACTCTTTTTTCATTCCTTTTGTGTCAAGTCTTTCTAGCTGGTAAGCCTGAGGACAGGGAATTGTCTAATTAACCATTTGTAAGACGCTCTAAGAGCATTTCTAAAGAGCAGGGTATAAATAAATTATTATTATTATTATTATTATTATTATTATTCAGATTGGATAATTTCTGCAGTGTTGGTTCAACCTCAGGAAGGGAAAGGAAAAATCAAACCTCAGATCCTGCCGAGACAAAGTAGTTTGACACCATTTCAAGTGTCAAATGCTCTGGGATTCTGGGATTTGTAGTTCGGTGAGGTATGTAGCCTTCCCTGTCTGAGCCTTCTCTTGCCCCAGCAAACTACGATTCCCAGAAATCCGATTCCCATTATTGAGCCGTGGAAGTTAAAGCGGTATCAAACTGGATTATTTCTTCAGTGTGGCAGCAGCCTTGGAGCCAAGTAACGCCGGTGCCCCAAAGTCCCAAGATTTTGTTCTCAGGCTGCATCCACACGGCAGAAATAATCCAGTTTGACGCCACTTTAACTGACACGGTTCAATGCTAGAGAATTCGGGGAAATGTAGTTTTGTGAGATATTCTGTCAGGATGCTTTGGTGCCAAAACCAACTACAATTCCCAGAATTTCATAACATTGAGCCAGGGCATTTAAAGCGGCGTCAAACCGGGTTATTTCTCCAGTGTGGATAGAGAGGGAACCGTTCTCGTTAACTTGGGTGGAAACTACGGAGAAGCCTGCATTTGCCAGTATTTCTACTAATTCCTGGTGAGCCTCGGAAAAAAATCCCATAGATTTCAAATGATTTCTGTCCTAAATACATAGACATCACGATGTAATTTTGGTTGCCTAAAAAGTAAGGCTGGGGCATATACTTTGTTGTTGCGGAGGGTCTTCAAATCGGGGGGGGGGGGGGGGGGGGGGGGGTTCTTGGTCACATTCGTCCAGTGTGGGTTTGCCATTGCCTCCCTCTGAGGCTGAGAGAGTGTGACTTGCCTAAGGTAACTCAGAGGGTTCCCATGCCCGATCAGGGATTCGAACCCTGGTCTCTAGAGTCATAGTCCAGCGCTCAAATCACTACACCAGGCAACCTCTTTCATATACATTGTTGTTGTGTGCCTTCAAGTCATTTCGGACTTCTGGCGATCCCAAAGCGGACTTATCATGGGGTTTTCTTGGCAAGTTTCTTCAAAGAGGGTTTGCCATTGCCCTCCTCTGAGGCTGAGAGAGTGTGACTTGCCCAAGGTCACCCAGTGGATTTACATGGCCGAGCCTGGATTCATAGTCCAATGCTGAAACCACTATACCATGCTGATTCTCATACATATACATATACAACTGAACTCAGGTCAGTTGCTTCACACACATATATATATATAATATACACGTGTATTGGTAACGAGTATATATATTCGTGTATTGTATATGTATATGTTTGAGAATATATATATATATATATATATATATATATATATATATGAAGTCACTTCACATATATATATATATATATGAAGTGACTTCATATATATATATATTTGAGAATATATATATATATATATATATATATATATATATATATATATATATATATATATATATATATATATATGAGTTCAGTTGTATATGTATATGTTTGAGAATACACACACATATATACATATATTTACTTCCAACAAGAAAAAAAAATCCTTAGAGCATGGGAAAGGAAGGTACTTTCTTGGACGACTCCTCCCAAGTGTAATTCCAATGTGTCTGCACATCGGTGACTGGGGATGCTGGAACTTGTTGTCCAAAAAAAGTACCCTTTCCAAGTTCTGAAAAATTCCACAATCTGCAATATAGAAATAACTTTGATTAGGAGAACCAAAAAGTCTGGAAAAGGGCATTTTGCCTTCATGCACTATCCTAAACGCTTGGGTTTCAGAGCAGAAATGTTTAGTTTCTTTTCTCTTTAGGGAGCTTAGAATCCAGCCTCCAAGCCACTAAATTCTGAAACAAGAAATCTTACTTGATCCCATGAAAGTAAATCCTAAATCCTCTTTTTTTCCCCCGAAAGGAGTTTAAGGAGGGCCTAACTTTACATAAAAAAATATGGACGATTATTACTATACCATCGAAGTCGGATCAGACTGATAGAATTCAAAACTCGAATTTAGCTGAGTTCCGGAAAATACAAAAACTTGCCGGAAAGTTCAACTATAGTCAATAGATAATAAAGTGAATAAAGGAAATTTATTTCTTGAGTTTCCTAGAGCTCACTACTAGTCCTGTTATTTTCAACGGGGTTCAGCAAGTCCACTTAGAGACAGATGCCACTAAAATGAACGGCATTTATTTTAGTTTAAATAAATCAATTTTTAAACCAACTCAACTCCTTTTCCCACTCACCCATTTAATTCGGTATGAAACTGTTTGTATGCCTGTTGCATCCCAGTCCCCGATTTCCTAGCCCGATTTATTTTATTGAAAGCAAGAGATTTACCTTCCTGGACGTTACTTTCCGTTTACAACAAACACCGTTGGGACTCTGGCTGCATCCGCACTGCAGAAATAATCCGGTTTGATACCACTTCAACTGCCTTGGCTCTATGCCGTGCAATTCTACAACTATCTACAATTCCCAGAATTCCACAGCATGGAGCCAGGGCAGTTAAAGTGGTGT